ATATAAATAAATAAATAATTTGGGTATAATGAAACTGATTTTATCCTAAAATTGTAGATAAAGGGAGGCATTGGATTGGTAAACTAATTATGATTTTACATCATCTATGAGATTCATAATCATTAGGTCTGGTATTATAAATTTAAAAGTGACTTACCCATGTCCACTTCTACATTTCGATAGACAATTCACAATATTACTTTCCCTTCACGTTGAAATTTCTGTGGAAACGTTCAGAAATCACGTATAGAGGAATTCCACAAGTGTACATTAGTTGGCTGAAATTCAATGGGGAACCACCGGATAACCCCGGCTTACGTTAGTTTAATACACGTAACTGATTTCCAGAATGATCCACTTCGTCTAGCACACAGGGACCGGTTATAACAGAGCCGCAACAAATTAATAAGACTACGATCTACGGCTTTTACCTGTCGTGCTTATGACGACAAAACAGTGTCTGCCTTAGATATGGAGTTCGCACGTCTGGCACAATAAAAGCATTACGTATTAGGTTCAAATACCCACGAATTGTTCGTCATACATCGTATTTACGCATGAGATGTGGGTAGGGCAACCTAGAAAATAAATACTCTACAATGAAAGACAGTAAATTCAACCCTTTTCATACGGAATTTGAATGTATTGTATGCAATCACTGAACTACAACCCCCGGAAGAAAAACAATCAGGCGAGTCGCACCGTATCCACTCAACCACGAATTATCTTGCCTTTGTGTTGATTGGCTCAAAAAGTTCAATGTGAGGGCGCAAAGTACAGTCTTATGGTCTCCCAAGTATACTACGCTAGTAGTTCGTCTGTTTCATGAAAGATGCGTCATCAAGTCAACGAATCGCATGGTCGTCTAATTAGTATAGCCCCACTTGTATAATGTCCGTTTTGGGACTACATATTTATTAAAGTAAAGTTTCTTCTGCGGATGAAACAGTCACTTGCTACAGTTATTGACTTTCAATGTGAAAGAGTTAATTCACAAACGTTTACATTAAAAACTCAAGCCTATTTAGGTATATACTCTTTTATTTCAGAGATGGGGAGGAGGGGGGGATAGGGAAAATATTTTCTTGCTTTTCCCCAGTTTGCAACCCCCCCCCCCCCCCACCCCCCCCACCCAGTTTTGCCGGAAAAATGAACATTGTAAGATCGGCCAACAAAATTAATTGCTCTGATTGGTCTGTCTGTCATTTCAATGCCATTGGCCACCTAAAACAATACGTTTAACGAACTTTTTACATTAATTTTACAAATTACTGAGCATTTAAATAACAAACACATTAAAAGCGTTCCGGTCTGTTATGGGAAAACATTTTCCTCTCCCCTAAAATTTTACCTTGCCTTCACTTGCTACAACCCCTCCCCAGATTTCAGACGTTGGCGCCGTCAGTGAATAACAGCCGTGGACTGCTGCAAACAAATGGTTTTCTCTATTTTGTGATGTAGCATACAAAACAGTAATTGAAATCAAATCCCTAGTTTAGTTTAGTTATATCAAACGTCTATCTATATTCCACGTACATAGGAAGGATGGAGCATTGTTTACCCATGGGGGTCAGAGACATGCTTTTGTTTGGAATGAAGCCTTTTTTAACAAACTTAAAGACTTTTCGGAAGACTTGAGTCCGTGTGCAATCTTGGCAAGTTTGGTTGTTATTATTATTATCATTATTATTATTAGTGTACCTGTTTTGAAATGTCTAATTTAAATTCAAAATATAAAAAAAAATTATTGTTCTTTTCAATTATTATTATTATTATTATTATTATTATTGCAATTATTATTATTACAATAATTAATGTATAGTATATTTATATGAAATGTTAATGTTTATATTTATTATATTGCTATTTTATTTGTGTTTGTAAATTTGGCGCCCCACTCGACAGAGATCTTGAATCTCTCTTTAGGAAGTTAGCCTATTTTTCTTTGATTTTACTCTATTTGTATTTTTTGTTAATACAGACTGTACAAGTAGAGGCGAATAAATGAAATGAAATTCAAAGCATAAAGGCGACCTCAACGGTGTGGAATAGTTACGCTCAAGCTAGTACAGACAAAATACACTCGAGCGTAACCACGCCATTGGGACTCTACGTCGTTCGAGTTGGTTCGTCCGATGTGACGTTGTTTTGTTTGCTTTGCCAGCTAAATAGCTTACTACTGGGAGGCCTAGCTGTACGTTTCCCCATCTGGTACATCCTTGTTCGATACATCAGATGGCTGATATGCAAGGAACCCTTTACAAGTGGACCAACTACTTCAGTGGTTTGTATATAGTTATTTAGTACTAGGCTAGCCTATCTATTTTAATTAATATCTAGGCCTAGGCCTATATACGCTAGGCTAGGCCTAGGGGGCCTAGGCCTAATAATAATATAATTAGTGTATAGTATGTAGGAGGCCTAAGGCCTAGCTTAGGCCCTGGGCCTAAGCCAAAAGCAAGCCCAGGTTAGGCCTTTGCTAGCGCCGACAGACATGTATTCAAACGGGGCGCTTATTCGAACGGGGCGCTTATAAAAACAGAGTGGAAATTGAGGGGGCGCTTATGGAAATAGATGAAAATCGAGAGGTTCTTTTGAGAACTTATTAAATTCAAGAGGCACATTTTGAATGCAAAACGATTATATAAGGACATTAGGAAACCGCAAATTACGAATGGTGGTGCGGCGGAAAAGATAATCGTCCAGAGAGCATGGCTTGTCATGACAAGAATGTTGTGAGTACATTATTAGGCCTACATAACAGCAGAATAGCAGATGAAATTAGTGGTGGTGGTTAGCTTGTTGGCCATATTCGGCCGATTGAGATTAGCAGGGTGGCATGATCATTTCAGGTTTTCTTAAAAGCTCAGATGAGAATGTGTTAAAGGTGGAAATTGTCGGAAAAGGAGTAGGACTAGGCTATAGACAAATGTAAGAAGATGAAAGTTGGAAATATACTGTCTGTCCATGGAGCTCTCATCTGTCCAAAAATCCTCATTTTGATATTGACTACAGGAATGTAATTCCACTCCACACCTCAAATCATGCCAACATCCACAGTCCCAGGATTGATTGGATTATTGAGGGGGCATTTATTCAAATTAGAAGGGGACGCTTATTCAAACGGGGCGCTAAAGGAAATTTTCACGTTAGGAGGGTCGCTTATTCGAGAAGGGCGCTTATTCGCACGAGTACAGTATATACAGTATATATATATACACATCTAGATGTGTATAAGAGACAGCCGTATATCTGATTTATAGTTTGTTATTTATTTCGTTAAAATGTTGCAAATGTTTAAAAAGGCGAGTTGATTGGCCGAGCGGTTAAGTCATGGGCACCGTAAACCTTCAGCTATAATATCGGCGCTGGTTCGAACGGCTCACTCGCCAATAGTTCCGGTGGTGGAACAAGTCTTCTCGGATAAGGACTTTAAACCGTAGGCCCAGTGTACGTATTTAGCTCGTGAGCACTTTAAAGAACCCAGTACATCCTTCAGTCTCCACAAATGCCTCAATAATTTTGTATGCCGGCTGATTCATAACAGTACAAAACCAGACTGTAATGACGGGTGTCAGTTTTTATTTATCCTGAAATGTCATTGGCCCTGAGGTCTTTTTACCCTTGTGCCAGTTCATATGACTAATTCTGCTGGGTATTTGAGTATTTTTTCTGAGGTGCCACTACTACATTGTGCAGCTGCATTTCATTTCACAAAATGCATTAACAAATACAGAGTGGGACATGTTCATATTTTCTACTCCTTTGATTAACAAATTTGAAAGGTCCATTTGCCCTTTGATTATGCTATTCAAATTCAAAATGTCAGTTTAAGAATATTATGTAAAGGATTTACACATTTTGCATGCTAAACCATTGATATGTTTGGGGACCTAGTTTGATCCATCATGGCTCTCAAGTTCCTGTATTACATAAAATGAATTTGTTTATTTATCAAAAACAAATTGGAGATTGTGTAAAGATCAAATTACCACCACCTTGCTTATGAAGATAAGCTTCAAATCAGCTAGGATATTTTTTTATTTTGGCTAAAAATTCTATTCCTGAGCCTCATATTAGAATAAGTTTGCAGAAAATCTCAGTTTCATTTTGTAATCAGTAAGTTAACTTGCTGGATGATAAACAAATGCATAAAAAAATAAACTTTTTCTGCTTATAGTTCATCCTACAGATCCAAACCGACTTGATTTAATAATACCTGGGGAGCAGCATTTCTATGTGAGAGGTGCCACACCAGCAGAGAGGCAGCAGTGGTTGGTAGCACTTGGAACGGCTAAAGCTTGTCTTGCTGATTCCAGAAAGAAAAATGATAGAGGTAATATTATTTAATAATAATAATAATAATAATAATAATAGTGTAGTTTTATATAGCGCACAAATCCATCTAATGTAAGATGCTCAGGGCGCTTGAAATGTGGACTAGGAACTCGATCAATGACATTCTTCGCCCCTAAGGGTCCCTTCGTGTCTGTGCTACCTGGTAACCTGGTACCAGCAACTCTCGTCGTCCACCACAGGGGCTGTCTGTTCCAGTACACCGGGGTATCCCCCTACTCGTCTCGAAGGATATACTGAGATCTTTATAGTGCACACGAGCCATTGTATACACTGGGCCTACGGTTTATAGTCCTTATCCGAGAAGACTTGTTCTACCACCAGAACCATAGGCGAGCGTGCCGTTTGAACCAGTGCCGATATTATGGCTATAGCTTGCGGCGCCCCTGCTAACCGCTCGGCCATTCGACTCACCTTTGTTGTGAAATTGTCTCCTCTGTGTCAGAGCAGTTTACTGTAGCTCAGTCCCCTAAACAGGTGGTAGCCACAGTTCATGCCCTGAACCGTGGAGTTACTTTGGTCTCCGGTTCAATTCCATCTGCTGCTCTCGTGTTTCAGCTAGAGGGCTGAAATACAAGTTACGATAGCGTCTTTTGGATGGGAATTCAAGCTGTCGGTCCTGTGTGCAATATGGCACATGTGCACGTTAAACGATGTAGTAACTTTTTGGAAAAGAGTAGGGGATTGTCTCCCGATGTACTGACCAATTCACCACCAGAAGGACCCCACTGGAAATAAGTCTTCTGACTTAGTGGATTACCCTTGGTGTGATTCACACCAAAAATACTTCTGTCCTGTCCTATCTTATGTCTTTTTTATTGTTAGAGTAAATTTGATCTTGAAACTATAATTACTATAATTATAAGATTTAATTATTAAAATTCCATCTTTCTTGCCTTATGAACAATAATTTATAACCAAATTGTTTTCCCAAGCAGAATACACTGCAAATTTAACTCAGTCAAACTTTCAGAACAAGTAGCATAGTATGTAATCAATAATTTGATCCCACATTTTAGCACTTAAACGTACAAATTTTGATATTCAAATGTGTACTCAAATGTGTATTCAAATAGTGTTAGCCACAGTCTTACAGCTTATGGTATTATTTAGCAAAGGTAAAGATGTTCTTTATGTTGGTCAAAATTATGCCAATGTAAACACCATTTTTGCCTCATTTTCAAACTTCTTGGCAAACTGACAGTGACAGTAAAAGATCCCATCATTATTATGTATTCAGATATAATATGCTCCCATTTACATGTAAATCGAAGGCAGGCATTATTTTTAATATTGACTTAAATTAATGGATGAAAGTGAGTGGGTTTCAAAGCAGGATCTTTGATACACAGTTCGTTTGCGTCTATTACCACGAAGCTATTAATAATACAGTAGCTCTAAGCAAAACAAATAAGTCTTAACACAGCTACAATGAAGAATCTAATTCTAATGTTAATAGATTTAAAGGTGCTTTCTATAATATGGAATTGAAACTGTGTATTAGTGGCTAAGATACTTTTCTAGCTCTTGGAACACTATTTCTTACTGTCATGTATAGCATTGTGCTGTTCTATCAAATTTTATTTGACAAAACACTGATGTGCCTAATATGGTCATGATGTGATGTCATCATGACCATATTTAAGCATGCCACTTGTTTTTGTCAAATAAAGCTGATATGATAGTGATATGATAGTGATATGATAGTGATATTAGCAATTTTACAGCAATAAATATAATAAACATTTTGTGTCAAGATCACCAAATCCTAAATGCCTGAAACAGAAAATTTTGCAGTGTTGCTCCCTTCTGTGTTTAGATGATTAGTTGACTCGCTTGTTAACATTTCATCCTTTCATGCCATGAGAGGCATTCAACTTCCTATAATTGGCTGTTATGTTACAAGTGCATATTTTATTTAAGTTAGATATATTCGACCATTGCACACAAGTAAATTCAGCTTATCTGTCTGGCTCGTAAGGATATCGTCTGTTGCTCATGTCATGCAACCAGCTGGTTTATTCTCATACATGAGTGGGTTCAGCTATCTTACTGTCTCACAAAGTGGTCAAACTAGTTTCTAATAATTTTGATACACATAGTGATAAATGTACTACGGTATTTTCTTTCAAAACAGACTAGGCCTACATAGACTTTTTGTATAGAGTATTAAAGATACCAAGTGATCTCATACAGTAGGCTGTATTAACATTATTTGCTTAGTGAATATCTCTTGTTAAATATTGTATAAATAAAATTATTAAGCATGCGGAGAATAAACCATGTATCTTCTTTTACCTCTAGGAGAGCCCCCAGAAACATTGAGGTCAAAAATGTCTGAACTGAGGCTATATTGTGATTTGTTAATGCAACGTGTTGCCACTGTCAAAATGGCTGCAAAGTCTGAAGGAACTTCAACTAATGAGGTAATTCATTTTGATATTTAAAATATTTATGAATAATATTTATTCTAGTATAGTGAATTTTACTATAAGTTTGTTAGTGAAGCTAGATCCTGGCGTTAGAACTATTAAATGGTAGGTGTTGGAAAATCAGTATTTATTCAAAAGAGAATAGTGTTATTCAGATGACAAAAGCCAGTGTGTGTTTGCTGGGCCATTACAATTTTTGAATCACTGATTCAATTTAAAAATACATAAGTATATCACTAACAATTCTAATATATAATTTAATATTAAATAACTATACAATATAATAAAAATTTTAAAAAACCAATTTGTAAAATAATGTTTGTGCTTATTATCCTGCAGCGACTGAACGAATCAACATCATTGTTGTCGGAAACATGTGACACATTCATCAAGACATTACAGGACTGTATGAACATCGCTGACGAAACGTTTAGCCCCCAAATTAACAACAGTATGATTACAGACAGTGCTCTTCCCCCCTCCCTCACATCTGATAAGGTAAGAAGGCCAGTACTATTATACATTGCATTTATTGTTAATTTCCATTAAGGAATCTAGAATTTACTGACCTCTTCCCTTCCACCTTCTTGCTTGTTCTACCTAACAGACTTTTCACTTGAAAACTGATTTTTTCTTTGCTTACATTATTTCTGAAGTACAGTCTATAGTTCTTATCCATTAATGGGGACAATTTTCTTCTCATTTCTCTTTTGATTAATAAAAATACATTTTGTTTCACTGATATTTTTATTATAAAACTCTGTTTTAGCCCAGTTCCATGTCTCCTTTTTAAAAATAATCTGCGTCACCATAAACAAAGGATAAAATGAAAGGTTTGCGTGAAACCGATTTGCACATGCATACACACACTTGTCATCGTTTGTTCTGCTGCAGTGTGAACATGTGTGGAAATGATAACTGATGCAAACAAAAGGGTTGTTTTTTTCAAAGACTAAAATGGGCTGCACTCACTAAACTTTGTACTGAGACTTAAATTATACAGCATTGTTTTATTCTGTCAATGTTGAGTGTATTTAGATGTGAATGTAGAAATCTATTCAAAATGAAATAAAACTGCTATATTAACTATCCACTGGTGTAAAGGAAGCTTGCATGACAGTTTTATATAATATATACCAATTGATTAATATTGCTTTCAACAGAGTAAACAAAGCTGGAGTTTCAGTATGGCATCAAAGGAAATGCCTTATACCCCTCCCAATTTGGATAAGGTTTGTGAAAATGTGCTACTGGGTCATTAAACATTCTTTCCATAATCAAAACCTCAGTAATATTTCTGAGCTAGATTAATAAAATGAAGCATGCTTTACACCTAATCACAATTTAGGGTCATATTTTTTCAGTCACTCAATACAGTACAGTGCACCCTCCAATTTGAGACCCCTCTAATTCGAGACCACTTTTCCAAATGCCCAAATAGCAATCTTGAAGCTTTTAACACAAAGCTAGTCCTCTAATTGGAGACCAACTCCAAGACCACCCCTAATTTTCAGGGCTCAAAGTGGTCTCAAATTGAAGGGCGAACTGTAATTCATTTTGCAGTTCATACAAAAATGAAATTTGTTTTTATGTATAGTATATTCCACTTTTTATAATTATTTGTATTATTTATTTGTTGCTATTGATATTATTGGTATTATTCATTTTTTTTTCTGTCCATGGATTTCATCAGTCATGCCAAAGTTCTTAAAAAATGACTTGACATTTAGACTAAATAAGTTGAAATTTACATTTACAGTTGCTGTCAATAACAACTACTATTCTAAAATGACTATTTGTGAATGTCTAAAATGTAAACAGTTTCTAAAAGCAGTGCGAGACAAGACCATGGGGCTTGCTACTTTCTAAACAACACTGGTGCCATTTGTCATTACATTCAACCATTCTTACCTCCGCAACAAAGTTGGAGGAGGTTTTTGCCTCTGTTTATTTATTTACTCTTTTTATCTGTGTGTGTGTGCGTGTGTGTGTGTGTTGGTGTGTGTGTGTGTATCTATGTGACTGTGAAGAGCCTACAGTCCAGAGTTGTTATTGGAAACTTGTCAAAGTTGAACACAATGTTCCTTGGCCAAAGATCTGGAGGTGATTAAATTTTGAAGGGGTCAAAGTTTAAGGTCACAATCGACGAAAAACCATTTTTTAGCTGTCTGCCATATAGACATGTTTGTGTGCTTACAGAGTGTGCCAAAGGATTGTAACAAAGTAGCATTAATTTTACAGCGATTCACAAGAATACATTTTGGTATAGTGGTTAGAAGAGTGTTTTCCAAACTACCGACCCCGGGTTCGAATCCCCTCATGTCTATTTTTTTCATTATGTTTTATTTCATTGTCCGTACTACTAAACATGACATCTTATTACCAGTCAAGCCATTTTAGGCATCAGCAGTGCACCGAATACATTTTTTCATAGGGACAATATGCGTGATGTAGGTGGAGGTATGCACTCTGAGAGTGCCCTCTAGTTGTTATTTATATTATTTGTTTATATATCATTGTATTATTATACATATTTTTATAATATAATTTGTTTATTTATTTGAACCATATTTATTAAAAGTGAACCATCTAGAAACATTATTTTAAATACGATTTTTTTAAAAATAAATCTGTTTCTTGGGTTGTATTGCAGTTTTAATTATTTTATAAATTGTTAATCACTAATTTTGGTATTATAGTTTTTATTACTACCATGGTGGCTAGATAATTACATTATAAATTAATGCAGTTCTTCAAACACATCAAGGATTCAAAATTATCAGCATGGAATGATTGAATTGGAATATTGGCAGGCGCACCTGTGAATCACAATTAAACTATTAACTTTAATTTCACCCAATATGATTTCGAGGTTATCATATTCTAAAATATTTCATATTATATTTTGATTTTAATAACTCAACACAGTCTGTGGACTACAAATAAAAGGATATAAAACACTCATAATTGATGATCTTATAAGGTTAAAATGCAGTACTGTATACCCATCTGAATACTTTAAATTTTATAACATGTTTGTTTTTTCTTTTTCAGAAAAAACATCTTTATAAGTCTCATTCTATTGATGACAGGTAAACAATAGTAATTTTGAATAAATTTATTCATTAATAATAATTTGAGAACATTTCTTCCTCAGAACCAAAGGCTATAAAACCTGAATAATTTAAATCTACCCTCTCACTCCACTTGCCTTCAATGGATTTTTAAGTCTGTCGTTTTTTCAAAACCACAGACTTGAAATCCATTAAAACATTTTCACTATAAAATCCTGATTGTTCTTGCAATGAACCATTTGCATCACTGTGTTTTGGTATCGCTTATTTTGTCTAAAGCATGCATGAAATATATTTTATATTGGCTGATAACACATTATTATTTTTAATAAAATCGTTAGAGTTAATAAACCTAATAATACTGTTACTCAAAAATACTAATAATAAGCAGGATTTGTATAGCCTTTTAAATTATTTATTGCCTAGTAATCAATTTAAGGATTTTTGTAGTATAAACATATCTTTAAACTTATAGATTGACTTACAAACTTTTACATGATAAATTTCAATTTTCCTCAACGTAGATATACACCACCAATTAAAAACTGTCCTGGAGTGCGTACTCGTTACCGAAATCTTGAAGAGATCGCATCAACCCGCCCTCGATATCAGCGTACACATAGTTCTCCATCATCTGGTCAAATATCTCCTAGAGCCAATGAAAACCAGGGACATAATTTATCAGAAAAACAGCCAAAGTCGCCTGACAGCGAATCACGTGTGGCAATGAATGACGTGGCTAAACCAAATGGGATTCACACACCAACATCCGCAAGAAATAGTCATTCTTCTAGAACATTAGATTTTGAAAAGACTGAAAAAATACCTAATTTCTTCTCATCAATTCCATGCAGGTAAACATCTCATTATGAATACAGGTGGATTCAAGTGTTGACTTTGACCTATATATACGAATTTAATGTCTGATTGACCTAAAAAACTAATAAAGATAGAGTGCATATCAATGGTACATCACATTATTAACATGTTTCATTTGACTTTCTGTGACCTTGACCTTTTTGTCTAAAAATTCATTCACTTGTAGACCAATATGTACTGCTCTACAAAATGATGATCGATTCATTACTCGTTGCATAATTCTACTAAAACTTACAAACAATAAACAGAGAAATAGTAGTGAATATTTAATGCAAATAAGTAAATTTAAGTTTTATCATTTTGTATTTTCAGTTTTTCTGATATTAAATTAGGAGCGGATTTCAGTATACCAACAGACATTTTCTTAAATGCATGTGTCTCAGTCGTTGGGTTTTTTGGTAAGTTTATTAGACTTGATGTTGACACCCATAAAAGAATTTCCTAAAAACCTGTTGTTGGTGTAAGTCTTTCTGGACTTAATTCATTATACCTGTGCTTATTATTTTATGATGGTAATATGATTTATGAATTCAAAATAGATGCTGTTCAATCCAAGTATTAACTAATTAGACAATAACAAAAACAGGGAAAACCTGTAATTTGCTTAATTGTACAAAGTGTATATGTTACTGCCTGCAACTCATATTTGCCTATGCTTAAAGTTAGGGTTGTAGTGCACCCTCACCAATCATCATCACAATTCTGTGTAAAAAAAAGAAAAAAAGGCATTATAACAGCTAAATATATACTACCTTAAATGTTACAAATTTGTTTCTTTTTAATTGCAATTCTTTAATATTTGTTTTTATTTAAGATGCGCTAAATTCTTCAGCATTCACTCCAGTTAAAATGGATGTAAATGGTAATATTAAGGTGAGATTGAAATTGAATTATGTAGAGTAATATATAATGAGAAGATTTTAAAAATTGTCAACTTTGTCTTTGTCCACATTGTTGCCATCATCATTGTTATCATTATCAGCACCACAATTGACATTATTTTCATCATCATTATTATTTTGAACATCGATCATCAACATTATCAGCATCCTAATTGTAATCAGCAGCATTTTAATTATGAACATTCACCATTATTATCGTCATCATTATGTGTATCACTAAGATCATCATAATTATTATCATAACATTTCTTTTGCAGTTCTTGTTCTTCAGCGGATGTAGTCAAAGTGTTTCTTTAAACATCAGTTTTAGTTTCAGATGTACAATAAGGCAGTAACAATACAATAAGCCATATGAATATTATATACAAACTTTCATTAATACAAGCTTTTCACATTGCAATTAATACACTAAATATCAATATTACATTCTGAATCTGATACACTGTATAGAAAGCAAGCATTGAAAGTTTTGGACCATATCCAAGTTCAGGTAAACTTCCCTTGGTGTTTTTTTTCTTCAGAAATTACAGCAAAAATACTCAACAGATCCTGTGGCATTTGATACTCTACAAAAGATAGTAATGCAAGAGATTGACAATAACACTACCCAAGTAAAGAACTCCGCTACTGATGCACTCATGTGGTTAAGAAGGTATAATAATTATTATATTAATTATAATATTTGCATATATGTAATATAAAAATGAAAGGTGTTGCATATTAGGCAAATGTATATATAAAAACAAAAATAGCAGATACTGTGGATATATATATATATATATATATATACACTATATATATATATATATACACTATATATTTAAGTGTAAGTGAAGAATCTTCATAAAGAACAATGAATATACATATTAGTGGGGAATCCATGATGTTTGTGCTGGGGGAGTGCTAATTGAGTGTTATTGTGCGTGGAGAAGGTTTGGGAGAATGTTGTTTCCTGTAATGTAGATACATTTATGTATGAAGTATTTTTGCTGCAGCTGGCAAATACCAACTGCACATTGTTCAACACATATTTTTCATTAAGCTCTTAATCTCAGTCAGTCAGTTTTAGATTTCAATTGAAAAAAACATATGCTATGGAGAGTTCCTTCCAGTCAGTAGAGACTACATTTCTTAAGTTAAAAGAGGCATATTGTACAATGTCAAATACATGCATATTTTTTTTCTTTAAAAAATGTACACTTCTAATATACTGATCTATGTTGTCATTCTAGGGCACTTAGTTACATCTGTGAATTTCTTACGGACATCAAGAATGGTCAACGAGATCTGAGTGTTGCTGCTAACAACGCATACGCAAAAACACTCAAGCAATATCATGGATGGGTGGTCAGGGGCGTATTTGCTGTACGTTTTTTATTTAAGTTGTACCTTCATCGTATGAATGATAATATAATATAAAGGTTAAAGGTTATATATTTATATGCAAAATACAAGGGTGTCTGTGCACAAAAACAAGTGAACAGATGCAATTGGAAAAACAAGGAAAGAATAACCCCAAGCCAGTACCCAACCCAAAAGGTGGCTTAGTTTTAGATTGTCGGATCTGTAATTTGAAAATCTCTTTCAATTCCATTAGCAATCCATGTTTTCTTTCCTTACATATTAATATTTTTTTAGAGCTTTTTTAATAACCTTATCAAACCATATCTCATAAAACCAATTAATAAATTGTTCTGTTATTCCAGGATTTTTATTTCTTGCATGAAATATAAAAAAATTAATTAATTATGCTCTCTTTCAGCTGGCAGCAAAAGCAGTACCAACGTATGGTGACTTCATCCGCTTTGTTTCTGTCGATGAGGATGACGTTGAGAAACCTGAATATGAACGGCAACTCCTGGAGAGTGTTGATGAGACTGTTACCGCAATGAGTGTTGTTATCGACGTCTTAGTTGATTTCTATAACCACCATGATGTTGAGGTTAAAGCTGTTTATTGATTTATCATATTGAATAATATTAATATTGTAATAATAAAAATTAAAATGTTCAAACAATTTGATCTGTTTTCTGTATACAGTATATTAAAACAATAAATTTATCGATATAAAACCAATACTGTTGTTCCTCTGGTATAAGCTCACCCACATTGAGCACAAAATTGGGTCGATTTTGGGGGTGGGTGGGAAATCCCATTTAAAAAAATAACTGTACTAAAATGTCAGGGGATGGCCAATTAAAAGTTTTTTCAGCACTGCATGTCTAATTCAAATCCAATCTTAGATTTTATTTTTTCGGAAAGTATTTGCAAAACTAGCAGATCTACTCATTCTAATCATTTGCTTTTGTCAGATGAAAGGCTGGTGCATAAAATTTGGTATAAATTAGAGGGTGGGGCTTATACCTGAAATGGGTGCATACCCAAAGAACTAGAGTAAATATCTCACAGCCAGATGAAATCTTGACATGATGAAGGCTTGAGTTGACATCAATTGGGATTGTTTTTACAGGTAAATAGTTGTTTTATGAAGATAATATTTAGTATTTATTTAGCATCTTGTAAAGATTGTGCTTACAACTTTATTATGTATATCAATTGGAGTGGAGTTGAATAGCTTGGCAGTTAAGGTGCTTGCCTTCCAATCCCAGGGTCCTGGGTTCAATTCCTGTCATGTCAACAGGATTTTTTCTCACGACCAAAAACAACTCCACTCCCCTAACACTCATAATGAGGCTTAGTGTATGTAAAGCATCTTGTTTGCATGTTTGTCTTGTGAAAGGATTGCCACTTCAAGAATGATTAAGCTCACCATTGGCATATCCTTGGCCCTGAGCCTAAAAATTTGTAAAAAAAAAATTCAGATTGATATTGATAAACAATAGTGTAAGAGGTGTCTTCACAAAATGAGTCTCTTGGTATAAAACATGAAACAGTTGTTTATATATTGATACTTGTATATTCTGGTAGATGACATCATAAGCTTTATTTTGGTCTTTGCATTAGGTTTTCTAATTCAGATTCCTGAAAAATTAAGAAAGCTCACTACCGTTGAAACCATAAAACCCCACTTTTGTAAAAATATGAGTTCATCCATATTTCACACAATTCATTTTGTCATGACACCTCACATACATAACAGTATACAAATAGTGTGTTAATTAAACAAAATCAATTTCTTCACAAAATACTGTTCTTAAGGTGGGGCCAATAAGTTCTAATAAAAAATTAAAAAAAAAAAACATAACGTAAACTAATGTTAAATGCACAGTGCTTCTATGATGTAAGAGCCGATCAAAATACTCTGGCACATGGTCAAACCATTCCGTCTGCGGCAGCCTTTTACACCACTGTGCCAACTTAAAATGTATGTCTATGTGTTAAAATTTTGTATTATTATTATATTACTCAGAATTTGCGCAGTACTTGAGTTAAAGAAGTTTATTATTAAGAAGATATTTATAGATTAGAAAGCCTTGATGATAGCACATGCTTTGGTTTAAAGCCTCAAATAGTGGACTGTTTGGTTACATTAGTAGTACTGTAACCACTTTCCTTTGCAATTGTTAATAGTGGTATGTCCTTGCCAATGCTTAATGAATACAGTTTTATTTATGTTTGAACTTTGATCCTTTTTCTGATTTGTGCATGAAGATTTATGGGTGTTTGATATTTATAAGGCAGGTGAAGGAATTTAAAATGTTGATGAAACATTTGATATTATTATTTTGACTTTATTATATTAATTTATATATTACTTTGTTATTTTAAGAACTTTAATATTCTGATACATTCCTCCATTTATTTTTTAATAATTTTTAAAAGAATTTTAGTAGGAAAATTGTATAATTGCCAAAAACTATATACATGGTACAATATAGACGATAAACTGTCTTGCGGATGCAAAACAGTTCAGAGTTTACATCCACTAAGTTGTATGAAAGCAACTGCCTGGGGGTAGACCTGCATGTATATGTATACTGTACTCTATAGGTCAATGGGCATGACACTTGCCTTCATAGCTAGAGGTTGCAGGTTCGATTCCCACCAGAGACACTTTTTTATACAACTGAAGAAAAGGAACTTTTTGTTGAAGTGCTATGCTTGATATGATTGTAACATCTTCATCTTATTTGACTATGTGTTATCCCGATGAAACCAATAGAGACTGCTGACAAAAGCTTGAGTAATAAACAATTTAAGTTGGTCTATAAAGTGCTTACAAGTGTTTTTATTTTATACGTTACCCACATGGCCATACCTACTATTAGTTGTTCATATTTAGAATTGTAATTCACTAATTTTATTACCATAATTTCTTTAAAATAGGTTTTCAGATAAACAGCAATTCATTCATTGGATAAATCATTTAATAATAATTTAAATAAATTGTATGTTACATGACTTCGCAAGTGTTGTAAAATACTGGGGAATTTGAAATTGAGAGCCTGGTTGCCTCAAATTTCTGCACTCATGTTGTCTCATTTTTATGAGACAACAAATTATGTAATTTTTCCTGGGATTAAAGAACGTAGGATTCTACATGTGATAGATGTCCTTTGCAGATTAGGCAGCTGGTGGACCTTATGTATATATACATATTTTAGTATTTAAAACTTAATTCGCACTCTGTTTCAGCTTGATAGACGTACTGACAATTGATGTGTAAAGATCAACACAAGCACTAGTTCTGAAACAGAACTATTCCGTCTTAATTATTGTGAGATACAAAGGCAGCAGTAATTTTAGGTAGTCCCACTTTATCTAATCTCTTGGCATTACAACACCCAATGTTTCATTTTTTCTTTTTATGCTTCTTTTTTTTGGACGAACTACCAGATAAATCGTCAGAATCCTGGTTACCAGTATCTTCTGTTTTTTTTCTTTTAACTTCTTCATGCAACATAGTATCATATTTTTTCTTTTTCCTCTTCTCTGATTTCGTTGCTTCTTCTAAAAGAAAGAAAAGGAAAAAGCTTATTGACAAATAAGAACCCTAAACAACACTTTCACATCATATCATTAATAAAATGATTTAATGATATCATTAAATCATTGATTTACAAAATGTTGACATTTCTTGGGTTTCAACACCTTATATATACATAAATTGAAGGGGACCATTGCCTAATCATCAAATGATAGCTAGGATGATTAGGAATTATCATGGAGCACATAGGGAATGAGGAAAGACATCATGAACATTCACTATTTGCATGTCAACAAAGTCAAGATATTCTTCAGAGCAATTAATTAAAATATGGACCCCTTTTCTCATTGCTGATTGAAATTAACTCACTCTGTGCACAGATAACTCTTGGAAATTTGTTTTAAAGGGACTGATTGTTGCAACATTCCCTTTGTATTTTGTTGTAATAAACCATGACCAAATCACACTATATCAACTTATGTGTTACTTTGTTGTATACAGTGTATTGAGGGTGGTGAAAAGTTGATGGGTCCAAATACCTAATTTTCATGCCAGTAGACACATATATAATTGATGTTTAACAAATGGGACCTGTGGCGTCAGGGTGACTGTTGTTCAGGGGTGGCGCTAGCGAGGTTGCCAGGACCCCCCGACGAGGGGATTAAATAAGCCTTTGAAATTCCTAAATTGTCAAAATTTTCGACCACTTTCAAAACCTTTTATTTGAAGCTCGACCAGGCCCACTTTGCTTTCATCGGGGAAATCCGACCCCTCGTCGGGGCATTGTCTGGGACCTTGCACCTCCACCAGATTTACCCTTTCCGCCATCTTTAATTGCCAGATCATAACATAGTGTCTTTGCCTTAGACACGAAAACTGCAGCGATCGTTTACATGAGCCCTGAGATAATGCGGTTTCTGTATGATGATGCCAAGCCAGTGTATTTTCAATGTTTAAAACTGTCGGGGCCTCATTGAATGACACTATGCTATGTTATATTATTTTTTTTAACTACAATGTCGGGGCCCTTCGTGCCTGGAGGCTCTGGTGCTCCGCCCCTGTCAGCGCCCAAGCGTGACACCACTGAATGGGACATGGAACCTCAAAATCCAATCTTAATTTCTGTGTATGTAACAAGGGGTCCAGGCATACACAACTACAAAAATTTTATTGTGATTTACTGTTGTTGACACAAATTGGCTCTTAAAATCATACCTGTACTTGAGCAGTGTTTCTGATTCTTTTCTACTTTTCTTCTCTCCTTTCTTTCACTCTCTGACTCTTCTTCTGGACTGCTCCCTTCTTCTGTCCTGATCTTCTTTTCTTCATCTTCTTGTCTTTGAACTTTAGAAACGTGGTGCTTTTGACTCTTTTCTAGTTTTTTCCTCTTCTTTCGTTTACTCTCAGACTCTTCTTTCTCAACCTTATCTTCTTCAGTTCTGTTCTTCTGTTCTTTACTCTTTTCTGTTTGAGCATCATCTTCATCATCATTATCATCATCCGAGTCAAAGCGTATGTGTGTTCCTTGCGGTTCCTTGGCCTTCTTCTCTTTTTCTACTGCTTCTTCTTCATCTTCATCCTGAAAACCAAATCCAACATGCCTTCTACTCCTGCCAGCTAACTTTGCATCAAGACTGTGTTGAAATTGACTTTCTAAGTCTGACTGCATTTTCTTTTCCTGCTCATCTGAATACACAGAGAAAAATTAAATTAGTGTATTTAGTAGACCTAATAATATACCATTTGTCATAAAACATACTCACAAATTCAATCCTAAAAAAAAATACAAATATACAAAGTAAGCCAGCCAAATATTGAATTTTCTGTTCCAATTTTTTTTTTTTTCATATGCTATACAAAATATAATTATAATTATAAAGAAAAAACAAAACTGGTAATCGCTACTAACAATTAGCCTCATGTAGATGTTTATGAAACCTCCAGTATAACTTATATAACTTTTTTTTAGATGAGGAGCTCTAGAAACACTCAGCTGATTGATTAATAAATCTTTTTTAACTCTACTGCCTCTATTATACTGCCCTCATGAGACTCATTAATAGTTGATTGATTTAATAGATCATTTTAGCTCTACTGCATCTATTAAACTGCCCTGATCAGAGCTTTCCAGATTATGAGAATTTGTTGAAAAAAAATAAAATTGCAGTCTTTCTACTGTTTATCAAATAGGGATAGCATGTTACTGGAGAAGCCTCATAATGATTTAAAAAAGTGTTTTTGAATGGTCAATAATTGTTGCAACTGCATGATAATAACTGGCAAAATACCTGTTCTTGTATGTTTGGTGGGTCCCAATGAAGGTGCAGCTCCCTGACTCTGTTAAACAAAATACATTGTTGTTTTAAATATTAAATATAGTAGGGATAAAATAATTAACAGGAAAGTTACCAGTAGAATTTAAACAAGTATAAAGTATGATCAAATCTTTCAATCCCTTGCTGTGCATTTCGCTTGTGTCCTTGAGCAATGCACTTTACCTGCATTGCTTCTCTCCATCCAGGAGTATAAATGGGTACCTGGTGGGGTTGCCTGCTCCTGCGCTGATTAACAGCAGCAACACTTAAAGCATGTGGATCTAATTATCAGGGAAAAGAATTGCGTTTTATAACCACAAGGAAAAGGTGCATTATACTTTCCTGTACCAGTACCACTTAATGAAAAATTCAAACCCAACCATACAAAAAACCCTTTTTCATACATTTAGGCACATAAGACTTAAGTATTTTCCAAAAAATATTACCTTCTTTGCTCCCATGAGGCGGAGGAACTTCTCGCGTCTTGCTTCATCCCCTAAATTTGCAGTCTCCCAACTGTTGGCAGATTTAACCTCCTATTAAAATACAAATTAAAATTTATTAATATACTTTACTTAGTAAAGTTTCACATTTTCCTTCTGATAAAAGGTATGTTAAATATTTTTTTTCTATCCTAAATTAAATGTTTTTACTGATGAGTGTATTGTTTGCGGATTCCAAACAATTATTATCTTTGTTCATTTATGGTATGTCTGTCTTCCACACTATCAGTATTTTTACAACATTTTGCTTGATTGTGCCCTTAGCTTGTTATAACTATGGAGAAAATAAATATTAATAATAATCAATGTCACTAAATTGCACAATTTACATCAGTGCTGAAACGTCACATATCTTGAATTGCAATCCCTCTTTAAAAGATATAAAAAAATCACACAATTCAGAAGCGATGTTGTTGGTCTATGAGTGAAATACTTACCTGCAATTTGAGGATTGTTTCATAACGTTGATGCATTATATACGCCTGGGTTAGATTCCATTGTTTTTCAGGGGTAAGTTTCATTAGGAATCTGGCTTAGGCCCCCCACCATATCAGTTTATATCGGTTCACCCAGGTTAAGTATTCACGAAATAGACATAGGCTAGGTATATGAGCCTAGCTAGGCTAGATAAATTCTTTTTAAAAAAAATTAATTTTATGCTATGCATATTTATGTTTATGTTAATTTGCTATTCAAACTTCAAACAATGTTTTAGGCCATGGTATTTCATATAGGCCCTAATTAGCATTTTATTTAGGCTGTTACAAAGTTTGTAATGTATGTATTGTAATTCACTGAATTCCTCAATCCTAATTTCGTACATCAGGACTAGTCTAGCCTTAAACTAGGCCAGTCCATTTGAAGAAGGACCAATATGAGAAGGACCTAGTAGTAAAGTAGTAGTACTAAGCCTAATAGGTCCTCACCGCCTACCTGAATTCTACTACAAGGCCTAGCCTAGTCCTACTACATCAACAGGGTCTCTGGCCTACCCTCTAGGCCTTTTGGCTAGCTAGGCTTAGGCTAGACCCGGGTCCTACTGGTCACTGGTGTAGGCCTAGGCCAGGTTATTTACTAAGCCTAAACATGAATGAGTAGGAAAAGGGCCTTACTTACAACTAACAGTATACATAATACCGCATTTTTTTTCAAACGTATACATGAAAGGATTGTAAAAGCTAGGCCTAAGGCCTAGGCCTAGGAATATAAATCATACCTTTCCCCACATTTCCCCGACCAGGTGGTTACGTATAATACTACTGTATTTGTAGCCCTCTCTGAAAACAAAATTTAGTCTACTACGCCCTCTATACGCTGAAAAAAACATAACAAAAGCAAAAGGAGCACAAGGGAATCCCCAATCGAAATGGTAACCTAGCAATGCCAAAGACTCGTTCATTTTTATTTAGGGCATATTTGTAGTAATTTTATTCATATTATATTTTACCAATATCTTTTTGAAGGAAATAATATATGTATACATGAACACAATAATCCTATTTAGATATTAGGTATGAACTTGCCTCAAGAAAGGAAAATTAGTAGGAGAGGAATTTAGGTAATTGAATATTACCTATAAAAGCAATGTGGTTGCTTCATAAGCGTAATTGCATCTCTCTGTCTGTACTTTTGTTGGTAAGTATTGGTAGGTATTCGACGGAGCAGATACTTACTGTTTTCAACGATCATTATTATTTTTTATATTCATTGAGCCTGCTGCCAAAGTTACTGCTGGCGTCTTGGAGATTGGTATAGCTCTAGGCCTAGAGATGATTTCGTGAGGTTCTTTCTTGGCTTGCCTTGATATACCTTTTTGTAATTTTTGAAGGCTACTGACAGGCCCAACCCAGCTAGCCTAGCCTAGCCTGGCCCTGGGTTTAGGAGGTGAGTACAGAAAACATGGCACGGGTATAGGCTACTACCAACAATATCTTATGTGTGCAGATGACAATTTTAATATTGGACAGATTAAAATACAATAATCATAGAGAAATGAATACAAATAATACTATTACTATGGACTGTAGAAAACCTACCAAAGTAGGCCAATTATATAAACATGGAATATCTGAAGTTCTATCATAATTTTACTGACAACTAGAGTTCAGTAAATGCTTGCTTTCTTTACTTTTCTGCTTTCCAAAATGAGCTACTGTATTTCTTTTTGTCTGATGCAGAATACTCATTTTTTTGTAACATGATTAACAAAATTTTCTGGTTTCTTTTTTGTTTTAAACTACAGTATATATAAATGATTTAAAATTCATTTCTAACCTCATTTCTCTGAAGTCACCAAACAAAGAAAAAATGCCGACACTATCAGCAAGACATTCCTCATCAAGGCCAGCAAACCTACCTGTCATTGAGCATCCCTTAAGCCGACAGGCAAAGAAAAACACTCTAAATATCATTGGATCAGCATCAGGTGATGTTGTTAGTCCAAGACCATTCTCTAGGCCGACATCAGTTAGACCCAGACGTGAGCAGGGGAATCTTTTGCCATCTTTACGGCCTGAGAGTTGCCCACTGCTTAAACATCATCGCATGCTGACATGGCCTCCAGGTATAGTATTTGAAAGTTGTTATTTAATATAAGTGCAGCAATATTCTAATGATATATTCAAGTGTGTGGTGGGTCCGGTAGTACAACATAGAGGGGGGCCCATGGAGGGGACTTTAATAGAAGGAGGGTTTAGACAACCTCAACCCCACCATGGTTTTAGGTCTAAAATAAGACATTTCATGGATATGGCTCTTCTGGATGGCTAGAAATGGCACTGTCATACTTAAATTTGAATATAATTATCTTCTTTTCTATATTGATTTTTCATAATTAAAAAAAAATTTAGTGTGGGTGACAGTTAATGTTTTGAGGAGAATATGTTATCTGTAATTAAACATGCCTCTTTTATGAGTGATTTTTTAAAATATAGGCCTACTGATATTTTACATTGGTTTTAAATTTCTGTCTTCAGATCTACTGTACCAAATGTGACATTTTGCATGAAAGTTGTCCCAACTAGAATGGAATATACAACTACTTTGTAGTGTAGACTTGTTTAAATTTTAAAATATAATGATGTTCTGTCACAAAATCACTGCTACTTTGATCTTTTAAAGTTCATGAAGTCAAGTCTGGACAACAGAAGGCTAGTATACCCAAACAGACAGTGATTGGCAATTCCCTACAAAGCAGATACAGTTCAGATGAGGTAAGACTTATTCTATTAATAAATGTAATTTATGTCACATATTTAGGGAAATTACCAATATTTTTTAATAGGGTGTATACTATACCTATACTGGGGATGTTTAAACTTGTATTAGGTATAAAAATACTAATAGCATGACTTACTGTACAAGCAAGCTTAATAGACCTTTCTGCAAAGCCCACCTCTTGGTAGTGGCAGATCCAGAGTTATCTGAAAGGGGGGAGGGGTTGTTCAGAAACAACACTACCCTAGGGGTGTCTGAACATCGGAGAATGAAGCAAAACCAAGAAATGTGTGCATCTGTGCAGTTTAGCCAGTAGTACTGTAGATTGAAGATCAAAGTATGTGAACTGATAAAACGTGTAAAAAAAATTTGATGCAGACATGTAATTAACGACTGCACTTTATAAGTTTACAACCTGGAGTGTTTGGCCTTTCTAGGCCTAGGCAGCGACGTTTTAATTCACCAGAATAAATGCCTCATGGGGTTTATTGTTGAGAAGGTTTTTGAGGAGGCATTTATTCGAGGGAGGCATTTATGTTTTTTCAGTGTAAAATTGTAGCGTAATACTTAAAACGCCCCTTAATTTTACTGTAAATGTGGAACTACAACACATACAGGTAATCACTGTCGAAATGTGTTATTACGTGATCATAAAAAATTATTACTGCTGGAGTAGAACATTAATAGAATGTGTTGAGAATGATGTTGCTTCCATTAGATTTGTTTACAGTCATTTGGTTGGGGTGAGGGAGAAGAGGGATTATTCAGTGTTTATTCGAATAAGTATGGTAATCAATATTTCCTGTAATATTGCATAGATTACATTGGATATTGTTGCTAACAGTATTAGATTTATAGACACAAGATATGGATTAAAACTATTGACAAGAATAATGAGATCAAACAACAAAGCAAATAGTACCCTTGCTCTCTTGTTAAAAGTGTTTGTTTATGGAAGTATACAAACTGACATGAAACTATCAGGACCCAGATACAAGATAATATATGTACCCAAACCAATTTCCACCAGATATTCTAACAGGATATAGGTACTTTAATAAACAAATAATTTATTAATAGCTGGGGAGCCAATCGTTTATAGTGAACACTGCTTTTCTTCTACATGCGTACAGTTAAACTACGGTATTTTAACCCATAGACGCATCCTCACTAAACTGTACTAATTGATTTTCTGCAATAATGTTTTTTATGATGTGGAAGAATAATTTGGTGGTTTTTTATAATTTTATCTCCAATAAAACCTTCTGCCCAAATTAAACAATAGTGATCCATTGGCCTGTTTTGCCAAAAAAAAAAATTAAAACAATTTGTTTAGCAAATTATTGGTGGGGACCTACAAAAGCCCACAAAAATAGGCCCATATTTTATTATCCAATCAGAAAAAGAGATGGCAAAATGTGTGCTTGATTATATACTGTAAAACCTTGAAGCCCAATGGGCTTAATCTTGAGAAGAAGCCCATCTCCAATTGAAGCCCCTTCTTTAGTTTGCAAAAATAGCCTTAAAAAGAAGCCCATGGGCTTCTTTTCAAGATAGCGTGGGCTTCCTTTCTTTCTGTACAGTACATACACTGTAGTGAATTTCAAGGAAACAAAAAAATAAAAACATACTTGGTTTATACAATAGCAATGGTGATTTAATGCTAGTTAATACAAACCGTGATATAGATTGATGTTACTGTGGCCCTGTTTATTGTTTTATAGTAGTAATTCCCAAATTTTACAGCATTCATTTTGAAAAGAAGCCCCCCTCTTTACTTTGCAAAAGTAGCTTTGAAGAGAAGCCCATCTTGAAAAGAAGCCCATTTAAATTTCGCAAAAAAAAAGAAGGCCAGGGCTTATCCAGAGCAATAATAACATAATAATTCAACAAATCAATTATTCAACTGTAGGCTTTGTCACTGATTGGTTTATCTATTGATCAATATATGCCACTTGAAATTCCTTTAATTGTAAGCCCACTGATCCCAGTGGGACATTGAATGCATACCCACAATGCAACTGCTGCAGGACTCAGTGTTTACCATTACCATAGGTACGAGTGGGACTGTTGTTGATATAGTGTAATATAATGCTGCAGCCTTTTGATGCTAATTAAATAGAAAATACAA